TTAATCTGTTCCAGACTCCCAGAAATATTAACAAAAAAATAACATTTTATAGAGAATAACTATAGTTTTACATACAGAAATCAATGAGAAATAATTATAAAGCACTAATGAAATGGATAAATGAATATTTAAATCACTTTTACCTTTATTAAAGTCTCTTGTTGGAGTATGGAAGACGGCGAGGAGGAGAGAGGGAGGAGAGGTTATCTTTACCACCATCGATACCACCCTCTACCACCATTGAATTCTAACGTGTTTCTCACCTTCTTTATCAGAGGGCTGGCACTCGGAGCTTTCTTTGGCACTATGGTGCTTAATTTGCAGTCACACTCATTAAACAAGCACAAAAAACAATAGATTATTACAAAATGATTCGTATGAATGCACAGGGTAATGTTCACTCGGCAAGAAACAAAGCCAGACTGACTCAATGTGTGTGTGGGATGTGTTGTGTGGACGTGGGCAGACAAACATGTTCGGTACAGCAGACGAAAACCAAGGTGATGAACGAAAACTGGGACAATATTTTGGTGTAAAAAGTAGTCGAAAAGCGAACTTAACGAAAACTGAGGTTCCACTGTATTTCCAAGCACTCTCAGCGTTGTTGAACTGCAACATCATCAGGTAACAACCCCAGAGCACCTTTTATTTTCTGAATACCCCAAAAACTTGCCCACAAAGTACACAAGCACCTGCTTCTTGCCATGTTGGTTCAGAGTGAGTGGGGGGAGGGGGGGCTGCAAAACCTAATCTCCCAGACAGAAAACAGAAGAGCATCATATTATTATAGGTAGTAGGTTAGTAGACAGCAACCACCCAGGGAGGTACTACCATCCTGTCAAGTAAGTGTAAAACGAAAGCCTGTAATTATTTTACATGATGGTAGGATTGCTGGTGTCTTTTGTCTCTCACAAATATGCAAGATTACAGGTACGTCTTGCTACTTCTACTTACACTTAGGTCACACTACACATACATGTACAAGCATATATATACACACCCCTCTGGGTTTTCTTCTATTTTCTTTCTAGTTCTTGTTCTTGTTTATTTTCTCTTATCTCCATGGGGAAGTGGAACAGAATTCTTCCTCCGTAAGCCATGCGTGTTGTAAGAGGCGACTAAAATGCCTGGAGCAAGGGGCTAATAACCCCTTCTATATAAATTACTAAATTTAAAAGGAGAAACTTTTGTTTTTCTTTTTGGGCCACCCTGCCTCAGTGGGATATGGCTGGTTTGTTGAAAGAAAGTAAGTAAGTTCTTGTTCTTATTACTTTTCCTTTTATATCCATGGGGAAGTGGAATAAGAATATTTCCTCCGTAAGCCATGTGTGTTGTAGAAGTCAACTAAAATGTGGGGAACAGAGAGCTAGTAACCCCTTTTCCTGTAATAATTACTAGAAAGGATAAGAACAAAATTGTCAATGTGGGATTTCTGAATGTGCGTGGATGTTGTGTGAGTGATATGAGAGATGATTGTAGATGTTATGAATGAGAAGAAGCTGGATGTCCTGGCTTTAAGTGAAACAAAGCTGAAGGGGGTGGAGAGTTTCAGTGGAGAGGAATAAATGGGATTAGGTCAGGGGTTTCAAATAGTTAGAGCTAAAGAATGAGTAGCAATAATGTTGAAGGATAAGCTATGGCAGGAAAAGAGGGACTATAAATGTATTAATTCAAAGATTATGTGGAGTAAAATAAAGGTTGGATGTGAAAAGTGGGTTATAGTAAGTGTATATGCACCTTGAGAAGAGAGATTTTGGGAAATGTTGAGTGAATGAGGGAAGTTTTGAACCAAGTATGAGAGTACTTGTGGTTGGGGATTTCAATGCTAAAGTGGGTAAAAATGTTGTGGAGGGAGTAGTAGGTAAATTTGGGGTTCCATGGGTAAATGAAAATGGGGAGCCTTTAATTAAGCTATGTGTAGAAAGAGGTTTGGTAATTAGTAATACATATTTTATGAAAAAGAGGATAAATAAATATACAAGGTATGATATAGCACATAATGAAAGTTTGTTAGATTACGTATTGGTGGATAAAAGGTTGATGGGTAGGTTCCAGGATGTACACGTTTATAGAGGGGCAACTGATATATCGGATCATTATTTAGTTGTTACAGTTAGAGTAAGAGGTAGATGGGACAAGAGGAAAATGGCAACAACAAGTAAGAGGGAGGTGAAAGTGTATAAATAAAGGGAGGAGGAAGTTCGAGTGAGATATTAGCAACTATTGGCAGAAAGGTGGGTTGGTGCAAGTGTGAATAGTGTGTGTGTGGGGGGGGGTTGAAGAGGGTTGGAATATTTTTAAAAATGCAGTATTAGAATGTGGGGCAGAAGTTTGTGGTTATAGGAGGGTGGGTGCAGGTGAAAAGAGGAGTGTTTGGTGGAATGATGAAGTAAAGGGTGTGATAAAAGAGTAAAAGGAAGCTTATGAGAGGTTTTTACAAAGCAGAAGTGTTATAAGAAGAGCAGAGTATATGGATAGTAAAAGATAGGTGAAGAGAGTGGTGAGAGAGAGTGCAAAAGGAAAGCAGATGATAGTGGGAGAGGCACTGTCAAGAAATTTTAATGAAAATGAGAAAATTTTTGGAGTGAGCTAAACAAGTTAAGAAAGCCTAGGGAACGAATGGATTTGTCAGTTAAAAACAGAGTAGGAGAGTTAGTAGATGGGGAGATGGAGTTATTGGGTAGAAGGCGAGAATACTTTGAGGAACTTTTAAATGTCGCCGAAGAAAGGGAGGCAGTAATTTCATGCACTAGCCAAGGAGGTATACCATCTTTTAGGAGTGAAGAAGAGCAGGATGTGAGTGTGGGGGAGGTATGTGAGGCATTACGTAGAATGAAATGGGGTAAAGCAGCTGGAACTGACGGGATCATGACATTGTTAAACGATCTAGTGTTGCAGTGGTTGGTATTTTTGTTTAATAAATGTATGAAAGAGGGGAAGGTACCTAGGGATTGGCAGAGAGCATGTATAGTCCCTTTATATAAAGGGAAGGGGGACAAAAGAGATTGTAAAAATTATAGGGGAATAAGTTTACCGAGTTTACCAGGAAAAGTGTACGGTAGGGTTGTTATTGTAAGAATTAGAGGAAAGACAGAATGTAGGATTGCGGATGAGCAAGGAGGTTTTAAAGTGGGTAGGGGATGTGTAGATCAAGTGTTTATATTGAAGCATATACGTGAACATTATTTAGATATAGGTAGGGAAGTTTTCATTGCATTTATGGATTTAGAAAAGGCGAATGATAGTGGATAGGGGAGCACTGTGGCAGATGTTGCAAGTATATGGAATAGGTTGTAAGGTACTAAATGCTGTAAAGAGTTTTTATGAGGATAGTGAGGCTCAGGTTAGGGTGTGTAGAAGAGAGGGAGACTACTTCTCGGTAAAAGTAGGTCTTAGACAGGGATGTGTAATGTCACCATGGTTGTTTAATATATTTATAGATGGGGTTGTAAAAGAAGTAAATGCTAGGGTGTTCGGGAGAGGGGTGGGATTAAATTATGGGGAATCAATACAAAATGGGAATTGACAGTTAGTTTTTGCTGACGATACTCTGCTTATTGGAGATTCTGAAGAAAAATTGCAAAGGTTAGTGGACGAGTTTGGGAGTGTATGTAAAGGTAGAAAGTTGAAAGTGAACATACAAAAGAGTAAGGTGATAAGGGTATCAAATGATTTAGATAAAGAAAAATTGGATATCAAATTGGGGAGGAGGAGTATGGAAGTGAATGTTTTCGGGTATTTGGGAGTTAACGTGTCAGCAGATGGATTTATGAAGGATGAGGGTAATTATAGAATTGATGAAGGAAAAAAGTTGAGTGGTGTGTTGAGGTATATGTGGAGACAAAAAGCATTATCTATGGAGGCAAAGAAGGGAATGTATGAAAGTATAATAGTACCAACACGCTTATATGGGTATGAAGCTTTGGTTGTAAATGCTGCAGCGAGGAGGCGGTTGGAGGCAGTGGAGATGTCCTGTCTAAGGGCAATGTATCAATGTGTGGTGTAAATGTTATGCAGAAAATTCGGAGTGTGGAAATTAAGAGAAGGTGTGGAGTTAATAAAAATATTAGTCAGAGGGCTGAAGAGGGGTTGTTGAGGTGGTTTGGTCATTTAGAGAGAATGGATCAAAGTAGAATGACATGGAGAATGTGTAAATCTATAGGGGAACGAAGGCGGGGTAGGGGTCGTCCTCATACAGGTTGGAGGGAGGGGGTAAGGAGGTTTTGTGGGAGATGGGCTTGGACTTCCAACAAGCGCGTGCGAGCGTGTTAGGAGTAAATTTTGACGAATGGTATTTGGGACATGACGAGCTGTTGGAGTGTGAGCAGGGTAATATTTAGTGAAGGGATTCAGGGAAACCGGTTGTTTTTATATAGCCGGACTTGAGTCCTGGAAATGGGAAGTACATACAATGCCTTCACTTTAAGGAGGGGTTTAGGATATTGGCAGTTGGGAGGGATATGTTGTGTATCTTTATACGTATACTGCAAAAACAGTGATTATATGTAAGTGAGGTGAAAGTGTTGAATGATGATTAAAGTATTTTCTTTTTGGGGATTTTCTTTTGGGTCACCCTGCCTCGGTGGGAGACGGCCGATTTGTTTAAAAAAAAAAAATTAAAACAAACTAATTCATCATTACTCTCTTGTTTTCTTGCAGTTAAACATCAATTAACGTGCATTATGTTGTTACAAAAATGTTATTTCATATTGCACAGGATAATTGAATATCTAAATATATTTTTATTTATTATTTTTACCTTAAAGATTGATGAATATCATTTCCTATGGTGGTGTATATAGTTTCCCAGCCTCCTTAACATACAAGTGATGAGATCTTATGCTAAGTCAAGCCAGGTGTACCTTAATGACTCGCCACAGTTCATCTTTCACAAACACTGCATTGAAATCCTAAATTCTACTCATTAGCCATAACTGCTATCTACATAACAGGTATAAATAGGAATGGACTGGCATGAGGCTTTAAAATGAATGGTACTAATATAGTAGTATATGCTAAATATGGTAAGCATTATTCTGAATTTGATAAATAAACTAATATAATGTACTCTTCTAGAGTGTTTGGTGATGATAGGTTTTATTTATAAATGCCATGACTAGCTGAGACAAATGAAATCTAAATTTGGCATCACAGACTTAGCCTGGTAGTCTTATGAAGTGCTAATGATTTCTCCTCATGATTCCTCTTCCATCAGGCCAGCTCTCACTTGAAGCAGAAAAAACTTGGCTTCAGTATGAATCGGAGCGCTGGGGTCTCAAGTTCAACCTTGAAGGTAGCCATTAAAGAAATAGAGTAGCATTTACTTTTAGTCAGTTGCTGTTATTGTAGCACATTACTGTTGCTTGATGTACATCATTCTGTCTTTTAGTTGCATCCCTACATGGGACAAATTCCTTTTCTGATTACAAAAATTATTATAACAACATGGTAAAAGATGTAACAGTACAAGTCTCTGCATATAATATCAAGTTATCATAACATGAAATTCCCTGGTAGATGATTTGGGCCTGGTGGCCCTGGTACCCCACATTTCCCTGGTCTTATTCCTTACGACCTCATCTTGTGGCAGTTTGTGAAAGATTTTTTTCAAGATACCAGTACCTAATATTAAAACACTTCATACTAGAATAAATGATGGCATCAGAAATCACTTGATATGTTGACCCATACACAAATGAGCCGGGATTTCATATGTTTTATGGCCCACAAAAGGTGCACATATTGAGGCTACGTAGATCAGACAACAGTGAAGCTATAAAAAAACTATTACATTGGGTATCCCACAGAAAACTGCATTTTTTATTTACCATTTTGTTGTAAGACATGTTTAAAATCTGAAAAGGACTTTGTGGACACTTAGTTGGTGTTTCTTAGGGCCCTTGAAATGTACTTCTTGGTAAAATAGGTGTTGGTGACTGGACTACTAGTGAAATGCTTGATGCACATTAATATAATCAAATGTACCTCCCAAAATGCTGATGCTCTGGTAATACTGCTTTACCATGTGGCTTGAGCTGTCATAGTTGTCCTTTTAGTATGTGAAAACCAAGCTTTGCATGTTAAGAGTATGTTAAAGTTTAGTAAGAAAACCAAAATACAAAAAAGGTGCATATGCACCTTTACAAAATGCTTCCATTATTTATTTATTAATTTCTCAACAAAATTTTCGGGAATCAGAAATGCATATTATGCCAGAAATTTAGTGTTACGAAGTTGGTAATTGTTTTCACTATTGTGAAAAATTAAAGAATAAAAATAAAATTTCAAACGTATTACCCTGAGAAACAAAGTTTGACAAGATATTTGAGTGATTAGTGATTTACATAATAGTAAAATAGTTTTTTCTATGGATGGGATGTGAAGCTTTAGAAGGAAGGTGCTTTGTGTTAGTTTCCTTCCTTTATTATGATGTATGAAGCATTGATACATCAGTGATAGTTTTATGTACCTCATTAGAGACTTTCTAACATTCCACAGGACCAATTTACCTTTCAGGATTTGACCACCAAAAACACATTTTTTTGTTTGTTAACCAGTGCTTTGGGTTTATCAAACTTTTAATTGGATTTCTATCAAACTTTTAATTTTGAACCCTTATGTCTTTACGAATGGTTGTGAAAAATGGAACATCATACCTTCCTTGCCACTTGAACGCAAATGTGTTATTGGCATAAAACTTTTGCAATTCATTTTTTCCTGCCCCTTTTGCCAATAAAGACATAGGTTTAATTTTAAATTAGGTTGTGCCAAAATTCTGTGATAATGGCATGAAGGCATTACTAATAATTTCTGCAACTTCTGGATTGAAAAACATGGGAAAAATAGGGTTACGTTCCTCAGACCTGCATGAGAGAGAGAAAAAAAATTAGAGGAAAATAGTTTTTCCCTCCCAACATTGTCAATGATGATGCTCTGTGGTGAAATGCCTGAAGTCTAACGAAGTTTAGACAATTAAAAGAGTACATTAGCCAAGAAATGGTTACATTAGTATGTACTGTATATTATTTGTTACTTACCTTCAAGTTAAGTTCAGGGTGGAGAGAGCAGCTGTGGTCCTATTAAGCTGAGGTTAGAGATTGGGACTTTTTTGATGTTGAAGGTTGGAGCTCTTGTGTTGATGCAGCTTCATCAGTTGGTTGCAGTGAAGTACTCAGGTACTCTGTCATATGATGCTTGTTTGTTTTACCCTGCAGTTCTTTATACAACAGACAATAAGGTCCAAGCATCTGTTTTAGAGCATGTTTTACAACACTGCTTTGAGATGAGTCATGGTCCTTTCCAGCAAACAAGTCTGCAACTTACGAACAGTTTGCAGTGACACTTCATTCTCATTTTTCTGTTCTCTGCAGTTGAGAATTTAATTAATGCAATGTTTCCCCTGCACTTGTGCAACATTTGTGTATCTTTATTCTGAAAACATTTCACCAGCCAGTGGCTTCTTCAGTCAAATGCAGAGAAAGGTGGAAGATGAGGAAGAGTTTGAGGTAATCAGTCCACCAGCCTGGACTGAACAAATTGGCTAAGGGACTGATTACCTCCAACTCCACATCTTTCACCTTCCTCTGCATTGGACTGAGGAAGCCACTGGCTGGTGAATTTTTTTTTTTCTTTTTTTCCAACAAGTCGGCCGTCTCCCACCGAGGCAGGGTGACCCAAAGAGAAAGAAAATACCCCAAAAGAAAACACTTTCATCATCATTCAACACTTTCACCTCACTCACACATAATCACTGTTTTTGCAGAGGTGCCCAGAATACAACAGCTTAGAAGTATATACATAAAAATACACAATGTATCTCTCCAAACTGCTGGTAAAATGTCTCCAGAATAAAGATGCCCAAATGTTGCACAAGTGTCTCATTATCAACTTGTCAGTTTTCCAAACCATTCATTCAAACAAATTTCTTCTGTAGTTGGCTCTTCATCATCATCTTTCAAGAGTTCATTGATGTTATCTTGCTGCATATCTTCAAATCCCTCACCTGGCACACTCCTACCCAGACCATCAGTTTCCTGAACTTAACTTTCCACGCCTTATATTTCTTTAACCAGCATTTATTGTTGATCTTGGGTAATGATCCTGTGTCTTTTTCACGTAAAGGAGTGCATCTTCAATATTAAATTTGTGCCAGGACTCTTGACATTATACTGTCTGCGTCAGTTGCTGCTACTAGTTTACTGAGCACACTGTGTGTACTGGCATTTGAATGTTTTGACAACTCAGTCCAGTGGTTGTATCAAGGATGTTGTATTTGGCTGCAACAAGACAATATTGGCACCTGGTTCCACATCCTTCAGGATTTGTAGATGACTATGACAATTATCAAGGATGAGATCCCTGTATGCAAGATTTTTCAGGCACAGGTGCATCCTCATTTCAGGAATTAAGTGAAGAAGGCCTTGGTCATCTATGCAATGGTGCTGGACGTTCAGATAACAGGCAAGGGATTTTTGGAGTGATAAACCAGCAAGGGTTTACATTTAAAGTCCCCTGATGCATTACTACAAAGAAGCAAGCTGAAATGGTCTTTTGCAGCCTTGAATTTGTGAGCAGTTTTCTCATTTGGTAATGTGTGTTCTGGATGGCATCTTCCAGAACAAACCTGTCTCATTCAGGCTTGTAGCCATCCTCAGAGATAGTGCTAATTACCTCAGCCAAGAACTTTCCTGAGGTCAGCAAAGGCACTTACACAAATAACCCGCACATAGAAGAGAGGAGCTTATGACGACGTTTCGGTCCGACTTGGACCATTTACAAAGTCACACTAACAAGAAGTGGAGCAGGACGGGTATATGTAGGCAGGAAGTAGTAGTGGTGGTAGCAGCAGCAGTAGTAGTAGTAGTAGTGGGGAATTGAGGAGGAGGAGCCAGTCAAATACAAATAAAAGGGAAGCACTGCAAGGGAGCTAGGTGCCCACAGAGGGAGAGCAAGAACACAGAGGTGGGGGAGAGGGGAAGTAATGAAATAAATAATGAAGGAACAGAAACACAAGACAAGAAAGAAAGGCAGCCCAGAAGAAAAAGAGGAAAGGAGAAGAGGGAGAAGAAGAAAAAAGGAGGAATCAGGTTAAGTCACGGGTGTTCTGAAGTTTGGAGCATTTTACAATGTAGTGGGAGAGGAAGGCATCTACAGAGACGAAGCCAGGACTAAGATTCATACAGGGAAAGTTGTGTATTAGGGAGGATTCAACCAGACGGCGACTGTTAAAGTTGGAAGTAGGGAAGACAGTTTTAGCAGAAGACCAGTCAATAGGATGGCTGTGATCTCTGATGTGACAGAAAAGAGCATTATTAGTGTCGGCAAGCCTAACACTATTTTTGTGCTCCCTAAGTCTGTCAGAAAGAGGTCAACCAGTTTCTCCAAAGTATTGAAGAGGACAGTAGGAGCAAGAAATAGAGTAGACACCAGGAACATCTGTAGAGGGAGGAGAGGTATGAACAAGATTAGTGCGAAGAGTGTTAGTCTGGCGGAAAGTAAGCTTGATGTCTAAGGGATGGAGAGAATTGCTGAGATTAGAAAGACTGGAAATGTAGGGAAAGCAGAGGACAGAAGAGCTCTCTTCCCAGAGAAGTTTATATTATGCAAACCACTGTGCATTTTTAAATCTATTAAACCATCCAAAACTAAATGTGCACTTATTTTTGAACTGTCCTTTCTCATACACCATTTTATAGTATGATGAGGCTTTTTTCCTAATAATAAGGGCATCACGTGCTACATCTTTCTTTGCTTTTCATTCCACACATTTGGTAAACTTTGTTTTATTTAACTGTATTGCTCTGTTACTCATTCTTTTCACTGTGTAACATTGAGGATTACATATTGCACAAGCCTTTATCTTTGCCTTAAATTGACCAAATTATTGATTCTCTAACACCAAACACTCATGCCATCTCCACAATATATGCACCACCCTTCAGCTTTTCAATTACTTTCAATTTTTTTCATAACCGTCAGTTTCACATTTAATCATCTTCCCTGCTTCATAAACAGGGAAGAAGATTTCTTTTGGCCAGTGTTTTATAAACATTGGTGACTGAGAGAAGCAACATTCAAGGATATGCCTGATTTTCAAAATAAAAAAGGCTGTACACTACTGTGAAGAGTTCCTTTTCATTTAGAAGAATTATTGCTGTTTAGCCATGGTGGTTACATATCTATATACTGTACAGTACTTGAATATTCTTTTCTCCTGCTCTTTGATTATATATTTGTACCAACACAATTAAATTTCAAAATATGTGAATCTCTGATCTTTTTTTCTATAATTATGTATTTATTTTAGCTATGGCTTGTCAGGAAGAATCACAGTCCACCCCAGCATTGATTCACATTCCTGAGAGCAGCAGTGGTATGACCTTCGTGGGAGGAGGTGGCAGTGAAATGGGGGCTGTGGGCGGGGCAGGAGGGCCAGGTTCTGGAGTACCAGAAAACAATTTACGTGAATCTTGCACTCGCCTTTCTATTTCACTGGAGGAAAATGGCTTATATAAGGTATGTACAACAACACAGATGTATATGTAAAATATGGCTTAAGTATGTTCTCCTAGATAAAATTGCTTAAATAATTATGTACTTAATACTGTAATGCAGCTATTACTAATGTAAATATGCTTCTATGGAATGATGCAGTACATGATAGAACACTTAATTTAACCAATTTTACAGGAGTAGAGGCACAGGTAATAGCTAGGTAAGACATGGGCTGTTCATTCTGGTTAAACTAATCGCCTGAAAATAAGATTTTTAGAAATACAGTACCATAATACCATTTATTCATTAAGTTGGCATTAGACTGAAATGTGACAAGCACATTTGGAAATATACTGGTAGCAAGGAATCCATTTATTGCCATGTTTCACCGTTGTATGAAACTAGGGTGATTTTTTTAAATTATTCCCTGTTACCATTGTTTTTATTTCCATTTAGTATTAGTTTACGATATTGTCTGCCTATAAACTAATTTTGTGTATTTACTAAATATGCACTCCTTTAAACAATAAAAGAAGAATTTTATCTTGAAAATACAGGTAAACCTTCAATATAACAAACTTTTAAAATGTGCAAAATCCACTGGATAAATTGCATATATAACTTCGTTTTTTGTAAAATAACTGCAAATTGTGTTTAGGGTATTAGGTGTGCAGTAAAGTTTGTCAGTGCTTTCTTTATTTTTTAATATTATGGTATAACACACTTGAAGAATCCCACTTTTAGTCGTCTGTTATATCAAGGGGTTACTGTATAGGCAAAAACCATTTGAACTAATTTATCTTCATTTCATTGCTCTTCCCTGGGAGTTACTGTACATATAACTGTTGCTAGAATGGAAGCTTTCAAAGATATCAAGAGACTTTTAGCACCATGGCTTTTTAGATATAAGCAAGGTACTGTATTTCCAAATGTTTCTCTGTTGCTTACTAGTAAATAAAAAGCTGGAATTGTAAAAGGTTCCTTCATAGTATTTGTACCATGTATTATTTTTTAGGTTTCAGTATGTTTCATAGGAACAAGACAATCAGATGATGTATAGTTGAAAAGGATTCACAAGAAAATAAATTTTAATGAAATCTCTAACAAGAATATTGTAGAGGAAGACTAATTATTATGTGAAAAAATGGAAAGAGGAAGTGTGAGAGATTACCTGTATGTAGCTACAGGAGTAGAGCTATGTTGTCTGTTCTGTCTTCAGTACAGTATTTGTTGTAAAAAAAATTTTAGTTTTCAGAAGTAGCAGCACTTGCTACCTGTTTTTGTAAACCATACCATTGTTCTGCCACTGTTTGTAAAATAAGACTAGTATAGGTAGTAGGTTGGTAGACAGCAACCACCCAGGGAGGTACTACCGTCCTGCCAAGTGAGTGTAAAACGAAAGCCTGTAATTGTTTTACATGATGGTAGGATTGCTGGTGTCTTTTGTCTGTCTCATAAATATGCAAGATTACAGGCATGTCTTGCTACTTCTACTTACACTTAGGTCACACTACACATACATGTACACATTTATTTATACACACTTATCTGAGTTTTCTTTGATTTTATCTTAATAGTTCTTGGTCTTATTACTTTTCCTTTTATATCCATGGGGAAGTGGAATAAGAATCTTTCCTCCGTAAGCCATGCGTGTTGTAAAAGTCAATTAAAATGCCGGGAACAATGGGCTAGTAACCCCTTTTCCTGTAAAGATTACTAAGAATAAGAAGAAGAAAATTGTCAAAGTGGGAAGTCTGAATGTGCATGGATATTGTGCAAATGAATAAGAAAGAGATGATTGTGGATGTTATGAATGAGAAGAAACTGGATGTCCTGGCTTTAAGTGAAACAAAGCTGAAGGGGGTGGGAGAGTTTCAATGGAGAGGAATAAATGGGATTAGGTCAGGGGTTTCAAATAGTTAGAGCTAAAGAAGGAGTAGCAATAATGTTGAAGGATAAGCTATGGCAGAAAAGAGGGACTATAAATGTATTAAGTCAAGGATTATGTGGAGTAAAATAAAGATTGGATGTTTAAAAGTGGGTTATAGTAAGCGTGTATGCACCTGGAGAAGAGAGAAGTGTAGAGGAGAGTGTTATTGCTGTTCTTACTGCTGAACAGCGGTTTAGTGCCGATGAAGGTAGCGTAGGTAGCAATGATACGGCCGTGGACTAGATTGGCTTTAATCGGGGTAGGAGTGAGTACACAACGGGCAGTGTGAGGGAGTGACCGCAAGCCAGTCCGTGGAGGGGGAGTACTTGTGTACGTCAAGTCGGACGGTCCAGGAGTGAGAGAGGGTGGACTGTGCTTCCCACCGACCTAGGTAGGCCTACAGAGGGCAGCACTGAATGCCGCGAAATATGAACTAGTCAGAGCAGACGGCTAGGCTGTGTGCTCTGACAGTACAGGCTGTCTACATTTGCTCGGCCACGCACCTCGCGTCGTCCCGACGCGACAATACTGGTGGGCCCATAGGTATAAAGGAATTACACTAGCTACCCCAGAGAGGGACTGGCTTTCGCTCACTAGTAAATAAAAAATGGACAAAAAAATGCAACAGGCAAAAAAAAAAACTCTCCCATCCAGGGGAAGAGAAAACTGGTTTGCCCACGCTGTTTCATCGAGTAGAGAGCCCGGAGACGTCAGCACTGGAACTAAA